TTATTTGTTAGTTGTTGCCTGCAAATGATGCCAACAATTACTTAGATCTTCGGTTTTCACTGTTACAGAGTTGGTGTTGCCAGCTTTATCAGCTTATTAGTTCAAAAGGTTGGTGTGGATATCAAACCATTTACAAGCATGCTGATGAGGCTACTGTTCCAAGTTGTAAAGGAAGAGAAAAGTACTACTGCTAAACGTGCCTTTGCGAGTGCTTGCGCCATGGTTTTGAAGTATGCTGCTGCTTCTCATGCCCAAAAGTTGATTGAAGACAGTGCAGCTTTGCATGCTGGGGATCGAAACGCTCAAATTTCATGTGCAATCCTTTTCAAAAGCTACTCATCCACAGCCTCAGATGTGGTGAACGGATATCAATCAGTGGTTGTTCCAGCTATTTTTTTATCCAGGTATAAACATACACTTCTTTCATGCTACTATAATATTCGGTTTATCCTTGTCATCATTCTGTCCGTCATAAGCTGTTTGGTGGCAGGCACCGGGCGTAGCTTTATGCACCCTGTTAGTGAATGTAGAGAAAGTGTAATCTTTAGATTTTATTTTTTAAATGCCTGCTGTGCTAAATTATTTGTGAAATATTTTATGAGCAGTTAAATTATGAGTGGCTGTTGGTGCCCGTAACTGGATTATTCAGTATACTGATTTTCAAATTTCAGTTCACTGTAAGATTAACCTGGGAATTAATATTAGGGGTTAATCCCATGAATTCTCTATGTTTGCAAATTTTCTGGGACCTTCCTATCCATTTCCTCATAACTGTTACTATACTAAAAGTGGCTTGACGAAAAATGATTACTGGTAGATACTTGGAAGGGCTCTTCTTTTTTTTTTTTTTCTTTTTTGGAACAGATCTTCCTTACAACTCTGAAGCTTAATTCCTGTATAGATTTGATGATGACAAGTATGTCTCTGAGCTCTTTGAAGAGTTGTGGGAAGAGAATACTAGTGGTGAAAGCATCACCCTTCAGTTGTTTCTGGGAGAAATTGTTTTCCTTATTTGTGAGGGCATTGCTTCATCCTCGTGGGCAAGCAAGAAGAAGGCAAGTGTTTTTCCTTTTAGCTCCTTTACTTTTTCTTCCACTATAAATTTTCTTTATCTATAGAATGCAATTTGGCCTGTTATGCTACTCAGGAATATTTTTGTTTATGGTTCACTATTTCAGTCAGCCCAAGCAATTTGCAAACTCAGCGAAGTTTTGGGTGAATCCTTGTCCTCCCATCATCATGTTCTGCTCAAATCTGTCATGAAGGAAGTTCCTGGACGTTTGTGGGAGGTAGGGAGAATCCTTTATGGTTTGACATTAGAACATAACACTCCAAGTGAATTGCAAAGATGGTTTATTTTATGCTACTGATGAATTTTTATAATGATTATTTTTTGGCTTTGCATGAATGTGTTGCTGACTCTTTACATAGTTGTGATACAAATTTGGAGAGGATATCTGTGCTCTTTTTTGGTAATATTAGTAAATTTACAGGGGAAGGAAGCTCTTTTACAAGCAATAGGTGCTCTTTCAATGGCTTGCCATAGAGCAATTTCTGCTGAAGATCCTGCCACTCCCAATTCCATTTTGACCCTAGTATCTTCTGCATGCACAAAGAAAGTAAAGAAGTACCGTGAAGCAGCGTTATCCTGTCTTGAGCAGGTAAATGTTTGGAAATGATTCACATGAAGCATTCTTAGATGCTTCCTTATTTCGAAAGTGATGTGACGAAAAGTCTCATATATATAGAGACACAAGCACAACATGAATCTTTGTTATTTTATTTATTTGTTAATTTCAATAAGTCTGATTTACTCGTATAAATTCGCACTCATAGAGCCATATCTAACTGAAGTCAAGTTTAAAGTTTGTTCATTAATTCTTAAAGCTAAGAATTCTATGACCAGGATCTAGTAAATTTTCATTGTAAGAATATTTGAAAAATTATAATGTTTAAAATTAATAAGAGCACAAAAATTCACACAATTTAATTATATATAATTAATTAATTTTAAATCTAAATATAGTTTTATAGAATGTTATAAGAAATTGACTAAAACTTTCAAAATTTTAATTCCAAATTATTAATTAGTATTCTCCTAATATTAAAAAAAAATCTAAGAAATTGGTCTTATAAGTTGTGTCTCAAAGCTCGTTGCTTCATATTTGTGGGAAGGTTGAAGAGTTTGCAAATAGTGTAGGCATGAAAGAAATGTTTATGGACAGCTGCCACATCTTGGATGTGGTAATCATATGCTAATGAGTTTATGAACTAGAAGTGGACAAAAATAACTGATGTCGAATGGATTAGGTTTAGATTACGTAAATAGATTAGAAATATAATTCTTTTAAATATAAAACTATTGTATTATTTAGAGTTATTATTATAATCTTAGTAGCTTAAGGTTCTATTTTTCTTTAGTATCTAAATTTGCTATTTATATTAATAATATTATTTTCTAATTCTATGAATAATAATTCTTAGTTTAATTCTATTTAATAAAAGTTACTTAAGAAACATTATAAATATATTTGTACTTTTACTTTTTGAGAGACTCCAGTTATTCAATAAAATATTTCGAGGGTCTTTTAATATTTTAGTTGTATGATGCCATCAAACCTTTAACCGTGATGCTTAAAATTTCTTAGATATAATGTCTATAAAACGCAGAGTGTAATGTCTAGATTTTTATCCTCAAATACCTAAATAGACAAACTAATCCTAATTTGTTCTACATCAGTGATCTATTTACAAATTTGATATTGAACAAGTTTTTGAAGTTGTGAAGAAGTTCATCCAAATTATTCTTTCTATATGTTTCCTTGTTTTTAGAAGACTATGAGGAACTCTTGATCTTGTATAGACTCATAAATAAGCTTTTCTATGTACCTGGCACGCCCCCTAGATTTCTTTTAAATGAATCCTATCCTTTTTTTATCATAAAGGAAATCTTTTTTTTGAGGGCAACTGAGTCTGATGTGACACCTAGACAGACATGACCTCAGCTGGATGGCCTGAGGTGCAGAAAGGAAAACATACCAATGGTCATTAAGATTCTATTTGTCATAATGCATGTTATATATCTGGACGTTGTTATACCATACTTTCACTTAAGCTCCTGGTCTCTCTTTTTATTGTAGGCTGCTGGACATGTTTATGTTACTGTATCTGATTGTTTACCGTTTCTCTTTTGCAATCTGCTCTATTTTTTGTGGTCTAATTTCTATTATGCACAGTAGATACAGAGGTTTATCATTTGTTAATTTATGTTCCCTTGCAAATTTATGAGTTCCCATTGTTCCCATGCTTTCAGATTATAAAAGCCTTTGGTAATCCAGAGTTTTTCAACTCTGTATTCCCAATATTATTTGAGATGTGCAATTCTGCCTCTCTGAGTCAGCCTAGACAAGCTCCTTTGGCAAGCTATGCTGCTAAAACAGGTTAGGTAAACCTAAACTTTCATTCAGATGAGAGATTTTCTATTTGTTCTTTTATCTATGAAATTGCAGATTTCAGTGATGTAGAATAGAGAGAAAGGAGAAAGAAGGGGGATAGGAAAGGGAAAGAAGAAAAGTGAAAAGTGAGGGAAGGATAGAAATAAGGGGAAGGGGAAAGCACAAGAGTAATGTAATGGAAGACAGGAAGAGTGAGGTATTGAAGTTTGATATGCTATCACCAGATGTAGGACAGTGGAAGCAAAAGGGGGAAGGCAAAAGAAAAAGGGGATCCAGGAAAGTAAATTTCAGGGAAATAAGAGAAAAAAGGGGCGGAAAGAACAGAAGAAGAAAAAATGGTGACATAAACTGAATTTAATTCTCAAGAAGTTTTGCCTTTCTTGTCATTTGTAGCTTTCTCACAGTTATTCCTTGTTCTTGTATTTTTTAGAAAACTATTTTGTGTTTGCTTTGGTCATTCGACAACTATAAAAACTTGTGAATTTAGAAAATGAAAACTAGAAAATGTTTTCGTGTACTTAATGGCCTTAAGTGCTTCTGTTGTTTTACAGCGTTCATATCTATTCTTTGAAACTACGTATAAATGTTTTGAGGCTTTAGAAGTTGTACTAATAGTTTGAGCATAACATGATTTGCACACAGAATCAGGTGTTGAAGATAGCTATCCACCCCTTAATAAAATAATGGACTGTCTAAAATCCTGCATCCATGTGGCCTTTGTGAATGCTATTCTTCAGCAAAAAAAGAACCTAATGGACATGCTTTTGATTTCGCTATCACCTGGTTCTCCATGGATAGGTATCATCTTTATCTTTGTCTTTTCTTTATTTGTTAATTACAAGAAGTTTGACCTTCAATGATTAAATTATTATTTTCAACAGTGAAAGTATCAGCATTTTCAACAATAAAAGAACTGTGCTCAAGGCTCTGGAATTCTTTCAGTGACACCCAGGAAACCTCTCTTGATGGCAATGGAGCTTCTTTTGTCCTGGAGGTATTTATAATCAAATTTATTAGCATACATTTAGTTGTAGCAAATTCTTGGGTATTAACTATTATTTGAATTTCTTTCAGCTGTTTCAGTCTGTATCACCTAGGATTCTTGAGTGCATAAAGACAATCAAGATTGCCCAGGTATGCCCCCCTCTTTATGCTATTTTGATTATAGATTTATGTCTCCACTTCTGGAGAACATTTTTGGAAAACGACATTGGACCTCTGTTGAACCTTCTTAATGCTCCTCATGTCATTATTCGGGGCCATCAGTAAAACATATGAAGCCATAAATAGATAGGAACTACCCGTAAATCTATGAGATTTTCAGGGTGGCTATATGTTAGCATGTACATTTAAGGGCAGAAAGTTAATGGAATTATATTTGTATTCTTTGATGTTTATTTTTTTCGCTTCAAGCACTTTTGTATTTTTTTATTTTACTTTCTCATGTTAGATATTTAATATTTTTCCTTACAATATTGTTAGCATTATACAAATTTAGTGGCGAACAATACTGATAATAGGATCAAGCTTGTTTTAAGCCTTGGTGGTGAATCTGCTAGAGAATCAGTAGTCTTTCGCATTTCTTCAACCTACTTTAAGTTTCTCTTTGCTTGTCCTTCTAAGCAATAACTATGCAAGATCTTAGCAATGATTTTGCATTGAAGTTTCTGTTTGAGAATACTGAGTATAGTAGCTTCTATTATACTCCTTTTTCTGTAAAAAATAAAGTATGGGTATATTAGTCATTTACTGAAGTGTTGTTATATGGCGGAGAGATTACTAGAAAAAGAGTCATGTCCTTCCTCTCTAAACCTAGTCTTAGATCAAGGAAAGAAAAGCATGTTAAAATATGATTCTTTTCACTAATTGATTTAAGGGTTGTAGAGTAATTTACTTAATGGAATTTTCGTAACATTATTTTTTCAAAATAAAAAATTTTCGTAACATTCTTAATGAATGTATATCAAAGAACCTTATAATCTAATCAATATTAGGGGTAGGTTTGGAGCAAATGAACTGTTTTTTTGGAATCCTTTGGGAATATAGACTTAATTCAATTATAAAATAAAAATTTAACTTGTATGAATATAAGTGAAATTAAAGCAATTAATTTAACTTTAATCAATTTTAGTAGAGTTTAAATTGCGTTTTCTCTATTCTACTTGAATTTAGAGTTAAATTTTCATGCTCCATCCTCCCTCATGCTTGAACTAAGTTATATTTAGAACAAAATTTAGAAACTCTATGAAATTCATTTGTATATCCACAGTTAGTTCAACTAGAGGATGGAGAAAATTTTTCTCATCTGAAATTTCATTAGGATTAGAATTATGAATTCCACTTTGGAATTTGGAATGCATTATTGAAATTACACGTGGAATTTCATATAATGTTAAGTTTTTATTTTCTTCTACTAATTTACTTCACCCCATAGTTAAAGTAATTGTATGTGTATTTATTAAAATTTCTAAGTTTGTTTAAGCATTTCATCATTTTGACTGTTGACTCTTTCAACTTTGTATCTCTAATGATTACTTCATATCCTAGGTTCACATTGCCGCTTCAGAATGCCTGCTGGACGTCACCAAGCTTTACAGACAGGTTCTACCACAGAAACCAACCGAAACGGAACTCAAAGAAGAGATCCTTCATCTTATTGAAGTGGAAAAGAATGAAGAGGCAAAAATGTTCTTGAAAAGATCTCTTGAGTGCCTCGAAAGCCTCGGCTAAGAAACTGTTTGAGAACCCAGAATACAACGCTTTACAGCAATCAGAGGCATGGTTGCTCATTATCGAGATTATGACTGTTTTCTCCATGTTATCATGTCCTAATACAGCCTTTTGCCTGGATGGAAATTTTCGACGAAACAGAGGTTGGAGGAACGGAAAAATTTGAAGCTAAAATCTTTGGTGAATAACAGAAGCGGCTTCCCGATCATCTAAATCTAATTTTAGGAATCATCATAATGCTTATGCAGCTTTTAGAATAATTCTTAGAGTTGCAACTCCTTTTGTTCTAGTGAACAAATGCTTACAGGGGAACAGTCATCTTTAAGGTAATGGCTCCACCATCAGGAATTGTACTTAAGACTTAAGACTAGTAATAATTCAGCTTCTCAGTTTTATTTATCATTTATATGTATATGTATTTGATCATATGCAGTATTCTATTTTTAATTAATCAACAGCTTCCTCTGAAGAATAAAACACCATCTTAAATTTGGTTAGATTTAAATCACTAACTAATATTCTAAGTTAATATAAACAGTTTAAAAATTAGCAAGGCTAATAAAAGTAAGTGTTGCTTTAGTAGGGTTGTTGTATGCTTCTAGGTAAAATGCCATGTACGCAGAGCTGTAAAATACTGTGATAACTTCTTGTCAACTAGAAGACGACCTCCCCATAGGGCAGTCTTTGGAGCCAACATTTAAATTGAATCGTTATACTAAGAAATTTCGTAACAACACCCTCATTCGAAACTAACATTAACTATTTTTTGATGAAGTCGTGAGATTTTTATATTGCGGTATGAAATTGTTGTTCTGAATCAGATTTCATGTCTCGTATGTGTTATCATTATATTATTTATTGTGTTATTATTAACGTAGAGGTATTATGTAAATATTGAAATATATGACTTTTATTCAAAACTCTGAGAATGGATTTAACAGTATTGTTAAAAAAATTTTACTATATAATTATTATAGTACTTCGTTAACAGAATATTAAATTAGTATATAAAATAATTTTAATTTTAATTTTTTTTATAAATACGAGTTATTTTAATTTTTTAAAAAATATTTAAAATTAGTTGATATTTTTGAACCAAGTTAAACCAGCTACCTAAATCTTGCCATGTCTTCATATATTACATTTTAATACATTTAAAATTTATAGAAATGTATTTTTCTTATAATTTCAAAACTTCTATAATTTGTTATAATTTTTCTATTATATTTTAGAGTTACATTGAAATTTTTTTCAACACTTGATGCGATTTAATTCATTATATTTTTGTCATAATGTGATGTTTAGTGTTATTTATTTATTTTAAATGTTTAGATTTTTTTCCATGCTTAAAGAAAAAAAAAAATAATTATAAGTCATGTTTATGTGCTTTAAAAAATAATTTAAAAATATAGTTGATCAATTAATTAAAATAATAAATTAATAAAAATAAGTATAAATTTTTATTTATTAATTTAATTAATTAATTAATATAATTTTTTGAATTATTTTTAAAATAATTAAATTATTTTAACTTTTTTTATAAAAAAATAGAACGAAACTAAATATTTAAAAAAAAATAAATAAATATTATAACTCAAATCATAATAAAATAAATCAATTTTATTTTATATAATATTTCTTTCGTTAATATTAATTAATTAGCACCTAATTAATAGTGATTTATTCTTAATTTTTAATTAGAGTTAGGTACGAAAATAACAATTGAAGTGAAACTGCTGTTTATTTGGGGGTAAAATAGTAAATGACGATAAAACCCTAACGAGCAAGTTCTACGCGGCTGTGTCTCTGCAACTCAGTCTATGCTCTCTCTCTCTCTCTCTCAACACCAACGACACCGGCCCGTCTCGCTCCGTGACTATCATTCCAAGTCTGCTCTTTGTCGATTATAACTTAAAGGTGAGTTCTTTTTTTGTCTTTCAAAAGCATATGATTGGATCTCATCTTTCTCGTAGTTAATTGTAGTAGGAAATAGAATCTTTTCTTGTCTGCAAATTTTTTTTCTCTGCAGACTTATATTCCGACAATGATTGACTAGTCTGTGGCTCAACATGTCTTAGAATTTCGGGTTTGTCTAAGACAAACGATTTAGTGATAGGGTTTCGCTGTTTCTTACGATTCTATGTTTCTTTGCAGTTGAAACCTGCGAATTGCCGAACAAAATGCACAATAGGAAGCGAAATTCTGGAAGTACTATGGAAGCGAAGGATCCCGATATGGGTTTTAAGAAGATTATGAAAGACATCGAGTTCTTCAGTAATGAATTTATTCTCTAATTTTCTATTTAATTTCATCTGGATGTGCTTAGTCTGCTGATTTGACTGTATAGGTTGCCCATTCTAGAAATTTTGATTATTTTATTATGTGGGAACTGTGTTTAGATTAGACTGAAAACACTCTTGGAGAATTATCATGTGGTCGTCTTCTAAAATTAATGTCCTCTTTACGTCATACTAACACCCTGAAGCAGAAATCTTAATACCATATAAATCTGGTTAGAATTTCAACAATGGAATTGCAGTGCGTATAAAGTAAAACCCTTTACCTGGTTAGCAAATGCGTTTACTAATTGGTAAAGCATTTGATAAATCCCAAGGAGAATTGTTAGTTCATCAGCTAGAGTTGAATAAAATTGTGAATGCAAATCATTATTGTGGAAAACTTTCTTGAAAGTATATATGCTTTGTATGCATCCAAAGTGTGATTCATACATTTTTACTTGGCAATTAATTTAGGGTACAATTAGTTTAGCTATTGAGAATTTAATTTCTTTTCTCTTGGAAGACCCAGTGATGATAGAAGTTCCTAGTTTGAAAGAAGCTGAGGATCTGAATCTTTCAAATCTTTCTGAAATATGTTGAACTTGTCTCTATTATTCAAGCTGAAAAGTCATTTAGAAAATTCTTTCTTCCATCTAGTTTCTTTCAGTTCCTATGTTTTACTTGTCAGTTGCAAGTGTTTTCCCAAATTTTCTTTTCCTTTTGGACCTTTCAAGCATCAGTGTTTCACTCCATCATCATGCTTCTGCTATTCATCCTGGCTCTTACTTATATTGTGTGATTTCAGACTCGTCACATATGACATGGAAGGAGAAAAAGGAAATGGAAAACAGGAAGGTAGTCTCACTGGGTGGCAAGGTAAGAACTTTGTACACGAAAGTTGCGCAACTATCTTCAATTAGCTTTAGATGAAATCTTGTTAATTGAGTAGCATAAAATAAGCACAAAACTTTTAGTACTAACTGTCTGTAAAAGTTTTTTTACCATTTAATTTTGATTTTTGAAAAGTGTAATCTTTTAATATTAAAATCTATGGCTAAACAATTGATGCTCATGATTGATGTAGTGGTCTCAAGATTACCTTAACACTCTCCTTTTTAATTTATTAGTGCATGTGTTTATGCAAATGTTGTCTTAATTTTGATTAATTGTTTCATTATTTTTGGGCACAGCCTCCTAAGAAACAGAGATTACCATTAAGTGTGGCACGAGTGATGATGAAAAAACAAAAGGAAAGAGAGCAGAAAATGCAAGAACAGGTATATTGATAATTTAATCAGGCGTCCACTTGTTAACTCATCAAGACTGTTGCATACATATGTTACCTTCATTAACTCTAAATGCATTCAGAATATGATTCTTGGAAGATTTGGAGGAAACTTTGGTGGAAGTGCTAGAAAATCCATGGAGAAGCGAAAACCTGAGGACCAAGTGCTGAGGTCTACTGAAGGTTATTTTAAAAATGGTATACTTGACGTAAAACATCTGCTACGTCCTGCCACATCTGGAGATGGTGATAGCAGTAATCATGTCATCAACAAGGGGAAGGGAAAGGGGTGGAATGGAAGCAGGAAGAAGAACAATGGGAAGAAGAAAGGTGGTGGTAGAAAGCGTCATTGATTGGCATTGGAAAACAAAATTTTGAGAGCAAGTTGACATGACCTTAGTAAGCATGCTCGGACAAGGTAGTACTAGAATAGATAACTTTCTGAGAGGTCCTCTTATTTTACCATGCTTGTCATTCCAGTTTTGCCAAAGTGTATAGTCCACTACCATATGCGGCTCTTATATTGTTTTAGGAGCCTGGAGAGATGTAACAGATCAGGTTTAGAATGAGGAGTTTGGTGATTGATTTGATATTAAGAACCAAATTTCTTGGTATAATACCATTGCTTCCTTTTGCCATGCTTTATGTCCCCATTATTACCAAAAGGAAAAATTACAAGCGTTTTGTGAGTTTAAATACCAGCAGTGGTCATTATTCTAATATTAGTTTCTCAGTGCTCCATTGAAACTGAGAAAGATGTCTTTTACTTTGCTACTGTAATCTTCTCTCTCTCTTTAACAAAACTTCTTCATTTTGTTAAGAAAAGAAATAGAAGCAGTGATCACTGTTGTCTCCACACGGTTTTTATTTTTTTAGCATGAGAAGAAAACTATGATCATCCTTACCATTCACTGTATTGTTCAGAGTTGTCTTATATTTTTTATTTGGAATATATATATATACTTGATACATCTTTGTAGTAATGAAAAATATTCAAATAAGTCCTTTTACCATGCTCTACTGGAACTTGTTATAAAATTGTGATGTCAATTAGAATTGAGCATTAGTCAAGTAATTATTGTAATGTTAACCTGAATTTCACAGGTTAGAATATTTACTAAACTTCAAACAATTAATTATAATTTTATAATTTTTTTGCCTAGATGCCGACAATTTTTGTTGCAGCGTACAGATTTGTCGTCGAAGAGGGTAAAATCTTGCCAGGAGATTACCATTTGATCTTTTTGACAAATTCAAGAACCTTTCAATCTCTAATTTTAAGAAAGGGAAAGCACTTTTTTATACAAATTCCATTTCCTGTTTTATTCATCAAAACTGCTCAGTTATATACAATTTCAGCAACAACATAACTCTCAGACTACTCGGAATAACTCCTGTTCCATATCTAAGAAAACTGGATACAAACAGTTCAACGCATAAATTACTAAGGAGCTGCAGAAAACTTAATCTGCTTTTCTCATCATCTTCCTCTGCAAATTACTGATTTGGTCTTGGAAACTCCAACGCGATGGTACGAGGATTCAAAATTTCAATAAGCTTTACTAGCTCATTTAGATCCATGTTGTTGTTGGTCATCTGCATCACAAGTTTCACTTTCAGCCACATCACTTAATTGATTATTTCTTACAAGCTTATTATATGTTAGGAAGTGAATGTATATAAATATTTATATAGATTTCTAGACCAAAAAAAGAAAAGAAAAACTATGACTAAGAAAGCTAACTATACAGCAAAATGAATCAAAGGACTCACCATCTTGACGAGCTAATCCCTGGTGCCGGTCAATCAAAGGCCAAATAATAGGCATGTCAGAAACTGGTTTTTTCAAGCTTTGAAACTCAAATCTCAACAAATTTGTCTGTGCTGTACAAATTTTAGATTGTCAAAAACAGATCATTATGGCTGAATTCGGCAGCACTCAGAAAGTATGTTAGCATATGATTGCTAAACATCTAATCTATAGACTCTGTAGTTCAGATTTTGCATGTAGATTGGCAGAGTAAATCATAATTAAATAACTAACCCCATGAAAATCCAAAAGTTACAAAACAAATCAATTTTGGCGGGTTCAATATCATGTACCTGTTCCCTTGCTGAATGTTCTCCGCAAAATGAAGGTTTCACTGCAAAAGTCTTTGCGTTGCAGCATAGCTTCCACTAGCAAATGCTATAAGAAGGTTGATAGTCGCTACAGATTGGCAATAAACCCTAATAATACTATTTGGGTCTAGATTTGTCAATTTCTCGTTAAGAAAAAGCATAACCATTAATGTTGTCCCCCTCATAACTGCAAAATTTCACTCCAT